TCTACATGCGTCCAAACGCGAAGCCGGTGTTTTAATTTAAATTCCTCCGGTTTGAAGAGCGTTTTCGAAAAGTACTGTTTTCATGACGGACTAGTGTGGACGGTAAACCTAACCACAGAAATAAAGCTGCGTTTTCAAATTTCACCAGCATGCTTTGGTCGGGGCCTGAAAGAACTGATCGAACAAAGTGATTCAGCTTTAATGGACGCCATTTTCGTGTTGAGTATTTTAGCTTTGAGAGTGTGTTTTGTTCGCAAGTCGTAAGTTTCGCGATTTTTGTCAACTCTCGAAAATGCAAAAATACAGGCGCATGAAAGTAAGTAAGAATAGTTCTTTTCACTTATGATCTCTAAATTTTCTTCGTAGCATCTGGGTGGGTTTAAGAGGTAGCTGAGAATCGGATTGACGCTTTTTTTAAAAGTTATTGCTGAGACCTGAGATCTGCAAATTTTTTGAAAACCGATAACTGAGATCTAACTCCCCCATCCAGACACTCTACTTAGACTGATTCGATTGTCTATACCAAAGCATATGTGGACTGTCCAAAGCCTGGTACAATTTGGTACATATAAGAATACCTTCTTTAAGGCTTAGTGCTATAACAACTTTCTGTTAACAGTCAGCTGCACGCATTGTATTATATAGAGTTACCTGTTTTCAGCTGGCTCGACAGATAATATGCGTAGATATTTTGCGAGCTGTGTAGTATTTGAGAGCAACGACTGGAGTAAAATGTCCGCTCGTATTACCTGTCAAGCCGTGCAATAAGGGATGTCATTTGCGACTGCATCCCTGCATTTGTAGGTTATCATTTTCTTTTAGTTTACTGTTTTTGGTTTAAAAGTTAGTCACGACAATTCATCTCGTGTTGGAACACATCATTTTGTTCGGAGAGCACTGAAGAAGCTATTTGCTCTAGCTCTGCTGTCCCTCAAGCAGCTCTTGTGCTTCTTCCCGCATGCATCATAATTCGATAATGCACGCTAAAGCATGACAATTCTTATTGCCAGGTTGTATCAGGAGCCATGGTAGTATGTAGTTTTTAATTAGATTTTTTTGGAATGTCTCACGAGTATACTCAGTTACTCGGTTTTAGTGGTTTGGTGCAAAACTTCATTTACCTTTCTTTGTAGCAAAGACGTTTTGAGAATTACTGACGGGATGGGTACAAGACAACGTTACTGTGGTAGCAAGACCGGTCAAAATCTTCAGGTGACTGGAGACCAAGTGGAAATACTATTCCACTCAGACGGAGCGATTGAGCGAAGAGGATATCTGCTAAATTTCACTCTGGTTTCATTACCCTCGGTTTCAAGCGGTAAGTGGGACCATAGAGAAGCTGATAAAACTTGAAGAGTACACTAAGTTTATCCCCCACTTAAATAACTTCTAACATTCATTTAAAGTTGACAGTTACTTGTGATAATACATTGTTCGTGGCTAGTCTTATGCAGCTCGTTTTGTCCCGGCCAAGGGACTCATCAGAGACCTTTCCTCTTGGCAAACTCATTGGGCATTGTGCTTAAAGTCACGTTCACTAACAAAATGATGACAGCAATCTCGCCTTATATCGCATAAAGATCCCCGACCGCATTTCATTTCCACGAGAAAAACTGGAACACGAGTTTTCTGCAAAACTAAGAGCAATAGTGTGGTAAGAGACGATGTCTCTTGAGCGTGGTAATTTTCAATTCGCCAAAACAGAGTTTTGTCATCGATTGCTATAGTAAACGTGAACATTGTCATGAACATTTGGCATCCTTAGCCACAGATTTGCGGATACCCTTTGACCCTATTCAGACCAGGCTTTTGGGCTTTTCAAGGTCTCCTAGTGACTGGAAACCAAGTGAAAATGTTAGTTCAATCAGACGACTAGATTGAACAAAGAGGATATTGGTTAGTCTTCGCTCTGGTTTCACCAGCCTTGGTTTCACTACCCTTGGTTTCACATGGTAGGACCATAAAGACGCTGATTAAGCTTATCAAGTTTACCAAATACATACATTTGAGGAATTGATGGTGGTTTTTAGCAAGATCTTTCAACAAATTTTAGATGCAGGTCAATTATTTCCATCCTCTCACGTTTGGAATGAACGTGCAAGGTTTTGCAGAAAAAAGTTATAGGGTCAAAGGTCATTTTTTCAAGAAAATTCAACTTTTGATCATTTATATTTTATAAAAACAAAAACAAGGAAGATCATTGCAAACATAGCCAGGTAGATAATTTAAATTTGCATAGAAAAAGCTCATTTATTGATCAATACGTGTAAAATTCGCTACCAATTCTCCGATTTACTAAATGTTAATAAAGTACCATCAAACCTGTATTGTGCGGACCTCATATTAAGCGGACACCCTCTATTAAGCGGACAGCAGTGCAAGTCCCATTTTTCTTTTTCCGCATTCACCGTAAAAAATACCGGTCTTCAACGGACACCTCTATTAAGCGGATGCAGCAAACCTTAAACTGGACTTTTATGGTCATTTCTACCTGTATCAAACAGACACTGCAAAAAGAATGCTTGATTTTTTTTGTCCACGTTTCAGTAGATCAGTCATTTAAGTTTGCCAACAACCTGAGCTGTCACAGAAATGCAATATTTTGTTATTTGGTTTTATTTTTACAGAACTTTTGTTCTTGTTTGATTTTGTAAACCTTCACATGATTCGATCAATATAGACACTGTTACTGTATACTTAAGGTGGCTGAACACAGTTTTTGATACCTGTGTTTCATTCACCTTTTTCTCTAAAACCCTTGATCCCTCGGTCGTCAAAAATAGCAGCAAGCTA